GTTAATTTCCAAATTTTTTTATTTATGTAATTTTGAATAATGGTGCCTTAAAATGAATGTGCACGCGCAGACATAGGAGAGTGAGTTTAATAAAAATAAAAGTTTATACATTTATTACAAAGTTTTTTTATTCCATTAATTAAAAAAAATTTTAATATAATTTATTTATTGAGCTGAAGAACATAACGTTAATTGTTTAACGGTTACAAAAACCAATTTATTAAAGTTTGTTCAAATTTTAATCATTACCAATCGAAAGAGCATGAAAAAATGTGTCGGAATCCATGAGTTTTATTCCAAATTTGATGTCGGAAAGTTATGAAAAATAAAAATCAAATTTAATTTAACCTTAAATAAATGTTAACGATCGCGTTAACGGGTGCTTATTAAAGTTTGTTCAAATTTTAATTATTACCAATCGAAAGAGCATGAAAAAATGTGTCGGAATCCATGAGTTTTATTCCAAATTTGATGTCGGAAAGATATGAAAAATCAAAATATTGAAGAAGTTATGGCTTCTTAAACGTTAACGATCGCGTTAACGGGTGCTTATTAAAGTTTGTTCAAATTTTAATTATTACCAATCGAAAGAGCATGAAAAAATGTGTCGGAATCCATGAGTTTTATCCCAAATTTGATGTCGGAAAGATATGAAAAATCAAAATATTGAAGAAGTTATGGCTTCTTAAACGTTAACGATCGCATTAACGGGTGTTAATTAAAGTTTGTTCAAATTTTAATCATTACCAATGGAAAGAGCCTAAAAAAATGTGTCGGAATCCATGAGTTTTATTCCAAATTTGATGTCGGAAAGATATGAAAAATCAAAATATTGAAGAAGTTATGGCTTCTTAAACGTTAACGATCGCGTTAACGGGTGCTTATTAAAGTTTGTTCAAATTTTAATTATTACCAATCGAAAGAGCATGAAAAAATGTGTCGGAATCCATGAGTTTTATTCCAAATTTGATGTCGGAAAGATATGAAAAATCAAAATATTGAAGAAGTTATGGCTTCTTAAACGTTAACGATCGCGTTAACGGGTGTTAATTAAAGTTTGTTCAAATTTTAATCATTACCAATGGAAAGAGCCTAAAAAAATGTGTCGGAATCCATGAGTTTTATTCCAAATTTGATGTCGGAAAGATATGAAAAATCAAAATATTGAAGAAGTTATGGCTTCTTAAACGTTAACGATCGCGTTAACGGGTGCTTATTAAAGTTTGTTCAAATTTTAATCATTACCAATGGAAAGAGCATAAAAAAATGTGTCGGAATCCATGAGTTTTATTCCAAATTTGATGTCGGAAAGATATGAAAAATCAAAATATTGAAGAAGTTATGGCTTCTTAAACGTTAACGATCGCGTTAACGGGTGCTTATTAAAGTTTGTTCAAATTTTAATCATTACCAATCGAAAGAGCATAAAAAAATGTGTCGGAATCCATGAGTGTTATTCCAAATTTGATGTCGGAAACATATGAAAAATCAAAATTTAATAAGCGCCCGATAACGCAATCGTTAACGTTTGAGAAAGGTTAAATTAATTTTGATTTTTCATATCTTTCCGACATCAAATTTGGAATAAAACTCATGGATTCCGACACATTTTTTCATGCTCTTTCGATTGGTAATGATTAAAATTTGAACAAACTTTAATAAATTGGTTTTTGTAACCGTTAAACAATTAACGTTATGTTCTTCAGCTCAATATTTATTTAAATTAACAGCAATATATAAATTAAAATAATTTTATATTAATGTTAAAAATATATAAGTAATTTAACGATAAGAAGATTTTAAATTTAGCATAAAAACATCACTGGTATTAACAGAATGTCGCCAAGTAGCCAGTGTGGCCCCGTGGTTAGCGTAGTAAAATTGCGAGCGCGAGCGTGAGCGTTAGGTCGTGGTTCGGTGCCCAATGCGAGCAAGATTTTTCAAATTAGATTAGGTTTTATTTCGACAGGTTAAATTAATCTTAAGTGATGAAACAAAAATAGTAAAAAACTTCGGATTAAATTAATTAAATAATAGTACATTTTTTTGAAATTACTTATAATAATTAAAGGAAATAAGTTCTATTGACTCTTATAAGATTCCAATACAACTTATCTCCTTATTATTAATAAATTAAAATCATATTTTTAATGAATACTAATGTTGTTTTAATATTATCTATAAATATAATATTACAAAATATTAATAGGATTATTATTATTACTATTATTATTAAGAATTATTGAACGCGAGAATAGTAAGTAACAGTGGGAGCAGTCTTGAGCGAGCCTAAATCAGCATTCGGCAAGATTAATTGAGTCTTGGTCACCAATGCTGAATCAAGGGTGGAGCTTCAGGTCGGAATCGGTGTTACATTCTAGCTTGGATGAGTCTTATTCCCGCTGACTGACCAAGGCTCAGTCAATATTGGCCAATGCTCAACGAGTCTTTAAAAGGCCTGAACCCAGCGTCCCTTCGCGCCTGGGAACTATAGCCTAACGTTTCACAATAAATAAAATACAAAAATGAAAACAAACATTGTTTAATAAATTGTGAGTTAACTATTTTCAAATACATTATTTTTCTTGTGCGGTATTAAAGCGTAAAAAATAAAGAAAATTTTGATCTTTAAACCAATTTATTTGGAGTAGCAGGAACGAAGTTAATTTTTTCCAGTATTTATTGTTGTATTTTTTAAATAAACAATCATTTTTACTTAAAGAGTGATTATTTCGGACCTTTATATTAATAAATATTATAAAAAAATGTTTCATTTAATTTGGAAAGGTTACTCCGAAAAGTGCTAAAAACTCATGGAATGGCATATATATGGGCGATTCCACGTGAGATTTACATATGACATTTTAAATTCGGTAAATATTTTTTTTCGATCTTTATAGAAAAAAAATGGTTTACGTATTTTTTTATTTTTTTATAAGTGCTCAAATTTTCGAGTTATGAATTTTTAAAAATCTGATTTTTTCGAGTTTTTTTAAAATACACCTAATTTTAATGACATGTAACTCTAAAAGTATTGAATTTAGGAATTATGACCAAGATACAAAAAAGTTTCAGTTTTTTATCGACTTTCAAAATATGTTAACGAAAAAAAAATTTTGAATTTGTTTATTAAAAACGGCGTTTTTTATAAACAAATTAAATATTTTTAAATTTAGGGGCGATTTTTTTAAATTTTTTTTTTATTTTTACACACATGAAAATAAGAGGAAAATTTTGTAATAAGTTTTGGAGTGGGCCTGATGATCCTCTTGTTTATAAAATTTGTTTAAAAAAAATTTTTTTACTTTTTTTTCGTTTTTTTTTATTTTTTGAAATAAAAAGTGTTTTGGGCACTAGGATCTTTTAGTAAACTCATAGAAAAGCAAATTATAATACATTTTATTCTAAAAAACAAAAAAAAAACAAAAAAAGTGAAACTTTTTTTTTAAACAAATTTAATTTGTTTATAAAAAAAACCGCTGCTTTTTTATAAATAAATTCAAAATTTTTTTTTTCATTAACATATTTTGAAAGTCGATGAAAAACTGAAATTTTTTTGTATGTTGGCCACAACTCACAAATTCAATACATTTATAGTTACTTGTCATTAAAATTAGGTATATTCAAAAAAAAAATTGACAAAATCAGATTTTTAAAAATTCATAACTCGAGAATTTGAGGACTTATAAAAAAAATAATTAAACCGTCATTTTTTCTATAAAGATGGAAAAAAGATGTTTGTATATGTATGTGTGGACCTCTTTTTTGTGAACACGTTAAGTTTAACATGTTTTAATGGATTTGGGTAAAATTTGGTATGCTTATTTATCATAATCATAACATTATAGCTATAATTATTTTCATGGCAAGTGGTTTTAATTTGATTCTTGTCTTCAATAATATATTTTGATAAGCTAATTACGAAAATCATGGTGACAATGCCCCAAAATTTGATTTTCATGGTGAAAACTATAAAAAAAGTCCAAAAATTTATGGTATTTTTCGTTTATTGAGTTAAATATGCAAAAATAAAAAAAAATTAGACACAAGTTATAGATCTTATTTAAATACATTTCTTTTATCTTATGCATTTTTTAAAAATTTCGCATATTTTACCCAATAAGAGAAAAAAAAATTTTTAGGACTTTCTTTAGGGTTATCATCATAAAAATCAAATTTTCGGATATTTTAACTATGATTTTCGTAATCAGCGCATTAAAATACGTAAAAGTACGTAATATAAAAAAACCAAAAATATTTCTAAAACATTTTGAATTTTTTAGAAAAAAAAATTGTTTGCCCATGACAGGACAAGGCTTAAAATTTTCGTAAAACAAAATAGTTTTTTTGAAAAAAATTGATCTGTACATTAATTGATAAAAATAACTTTTTATGTTTAAAACTCAAAAATTTAATAGTAATATCATTTGAAAATACCGTAAAAACATTTTTAGAGTGATACCGAATTAAATCGACGCATTTTTGTATTTAATACAGCCGCAAGAAAAAAATGGTGTTAATAAATGTCGTGAAAGTTTTGTGGCCATCTTTTCCGAGACTACAACAAATGTTTAATTTTTACTTTTTCAAACTCAATTTAATTTTTTTTGCAATTAAAATTGATTCGTTGGTTACAATGCCCAGGAAATTAAATAAAAAAAGGTATTTCGTTTGCAACATTTGTAACACTAAAATTAATTCAAATGTTCTAATATTTTTGTCGTGGAATGCATCACATAAAGTATATATTTGATTTTTTAAAGAACGAATGAAAATTAAAAAATCAAAAATTATTATTTTAGCTAAAAAAAATAACTGTAGTAATGAAGAAAAGGCTGATGAAGTATAACAAAATTTATGGAAACATTGAATTTAAATATTAGTTTATTATAACAATATCAAAAAATGAATGTCGAAAGCATACACAAAATTAAAATAGGTGAAAGAAAATAGTTTTAAAAAAAGTTAAAAAGTCAATATACTTATTATATTTTTTAAACCTTTCAAACTGATCCTCGTATTCCTGATGTTTTCCAAAAATGTAAAATTTTTGAAACACAAATATTCACAAATAATTCACTGCGAAACAGATAAGTATACGCGGCAGAAGATATTTGGTGTATGATAGAATTTATTTTTCTTTGTATTTACGTTCTATTAATAGCACATTAGCGGGGGGTAGACCAAAAGCAGAGATCACACATCCAATCACAAGTGAAACAAGTGTTTATGGCGAGTGCCTACAGCAACCGGTGGTCAAGCAGCTTCCTACAGCTGAGTCTACATTGGGAACGTGCGTACGCGACGTGAACGTGCTGACGTCATCCATATGCATAACATTGTGACGTCAGCTCGTACACATTCACGTTCGTGTGCTAACGTGCCCAATGTAGACTCAGCTTACAGTAAGCGCGTTGGACTAAACGCAACATGGGCCCAATGAGAGAGAGGGGTATGGACGTATATTTTCGTACACCTCTCACACATTAGGTTCACTTTTGCTTTCACGTCCGACGCGCTTATTGTAGACGCTGCTTCATCCTTGGTCAGTTTCTTTCCAGTCTTTCCAGTGTTGACAACCAGTTCGAGCATAAGCAAGAGGACACAAGCGAAAGTACGATATTTTGTAAGTTGGGATTTTTTTCATTCTTTTTATCTTTATCTTTTATATATATATCAGGCATTCTTTATACTTTCATGACATTTTCAATCCTAAATTATTTGTTTTTCAATAAATATTTAAACGATAAATTTAGTAATAAAAGCAATACAATAATATTTATATTTTTATCAAAGAAAATTTTTTAATTTAAAACCAGAAATCTCCAATAATTCTTGCACTTTAAAATTATTAATTTCTAGAAAGGTAATAGTATCCTTTTACAATTTTAATAAATTCCTAATACACTAAAACAAATATATTTTTTCACACATACTTCAAATAACTTTTTTTAACCCTGAAAGCTACTTTTTGCTATCTACTTTTTATTTACAATAAAGGAGTGTGAAACCTGATATTTATATACACATAGATTAATTTTTAAACAGATAATTTTTTCTGAAAGTTTTACAATTTTATTTTATTTTTATGCCCTGTCGACTTAAAATTAAATTTATATGTAGTTTTTAACTGTAAAGAAAATTGAAATTGATTTTACAAAATTTTGAAAGATAAAATTAACATAACCAAGAAAGAAATATATTGTGTCTCCAGGGTGTCTAACGCTCAGGGAAAAGTCAGGGAATTTCAGAAAATTTTATTCAAAGTCAGGGAAATTTCTACAAAAATTAAAATTTTTTGTGAATTTAAAAATTTTTTAATCTAAAAAAACTTGACTGGTTTTTATTGCCATTTATTACTACCATTAGAAATTAATTTATTGTTAAATATGTCAGTAGCCTTATTTTTGTCTAAAGAAAACAGAAATAAGGTTATTAAAAAGTCAGGGAAAAATCAAAAAATGGCAGGGGGGAGTCAGGGAAAAAACAGGAATTTTTTTTCTTATTTCTTGTTAGACACCCTGGTTTCATAATTTATTGTCAAAAAATAATTATTTTACATTTTGCGTTTTTAATAAAATATATTGAAATAAATTATTTTTTTACTTTTTGCAAATAGTCGCTTATTAACCTTTGCCGCACTGGATACCCACCCAAGGTGGGTCAAACCGAATTTACATTGTTGTTATTTATTAACATTTTTTGATCTGCAACTAAAAAGATGCATTTTTTAAAATTTTGCAATTTATCAAGCAGAATATAATAAAAGATAGATTGGATGTAAAATTAGTAATTCACCAGTTGTATATTTCAAAAAGTTATAAATCATTAATAATAAATTGTCTAAACAAATAAAAAATTAAAAAAACATTAATAAATATATTGTTTGTTAACATATAACAATTTCAGAGACAAAATGAATGATTCCAAATTTTTATTGCTATATTAAAAGAAGAAAACATTTGACCCATCCTAGGTGAGTTCTCGCCAACCGCGTAAATAAAAAATCTCTAGTTTGACGTAGGTTAAGTTTTGAAAAACATTCTCTATAATTCTACGCTATTTATTTTTATTAAAAATAAAATATTTTGTTTAAAATTTATTGAAACAATAAAAATTTGTGAATAATATTTTGTTCAACAGGGTGTCTACAAACCGGGAAATAGCCGGGAAACGAAAAAAAACGGGAAGTATCGGGGAAACGAAAGAAATATCAGTTCTATATTAATATTAAAGTTATTATTTGCTTCATAATATATTTTAGTGGGAAAAAACTTTAATATCTTAAACCGGGAAAAAACCGGGAATTTAAAGACTGAAAAACAGTAGCTAAACAAAACAATTTTATTCAAAAAGTTCATGTAAAAAAATTGTTCTGTATATTTTAATTAAAAACGCAGAATGTTAATTTCAAAATTAATTTTATTCTAATCCTAAAAATTTATTTCACAGAAAAATACTGGTCCAGAAAATTTTTTATCAAAAAATGAATTCAGAGAAAGACCCGAAGAATGTAAGTAATTTAAATCAAATGTTATTCTTCACAATTATTATTAATCCTAAAAATAATTTTTCAGATTACTGATCAAACTGTTCGCGAGACCGAAGAGGCATTAGGAGCAACTAGCGCACCAGAACAATTAGAAAAAAGCAAGAATGTAAGTATTTTTGAACATATATTATTATTTATAATTCTGAGTAAATTGAATAAAACTATAGATCTTACTTTAGAAACAAGGTTTTTGTTAAACAATTTTTCATGTTTTTTTATGTGTTTTATATATTTTTTTAAAATTAGTTTTAACACTACTTTAACCCTAATTTTCTATTTTTATGTTTTTCAAATAAAATGTTATTTATATTTTGAAAGCTGATGCATTTCCAACAAAAAAATATAAAATTCTTAAAGAATTTTTCATATAGTTTCCTATGCTAAAAAGTTTTTTTCCAAAAAAATTTTTGTCTCTACTTTTTCAAAATTAACCCTAATTTTTTCTGAATATAAAACTATGATTAAAAAATACTTGTATGATATCTAAGATCCCTTTTCTCATAATCAATCGCAAATATAGAATTAAATATTTAAAAATTTTCAGAATGAAAGAAAAAGACATAAAAGGTCAAAAAGCGGAGGCCAACAAAGAAAAGACCGTTACAAAGAATTCTTGGTACGATTATTATTAAATAAATTAGTTAATAAATATATCAATACAAAAATTAGAATAAAAAATACATATAAACTTCTTGTTTTAGGCTGCAAAAAAAATAAGAAAAATAAAAAGGAAGACGAAGAAGTACAAAAGAACAGCGGAAGAGAAGATAATTTAGAGAAAAAAGAAAAAACAAATCGAAACAGAACAAACAAAAAAATCAACAACAACCAAAGAATAATACAAAAATTGTTATTTTGGCAAGGGGGGAACGGTTGTTATAAACAATTAAAAATAAAATAATGTTTTACATTTTTTAAAATTTCTTTTTTCTACCTTTCACATCGCACTTCATAAACAGGTTAAATATGCATTAAAAAAAAATGTTAAAAATTTTTACTATTAAAAAATTATTTCATTTAGAGAAAAACAATTTTAAGTTATATATAAAATCCTAAATTCAAAAGAAGAATTTCAATTAAATATAAATAAAAAAGTATTAACATATTAACTTTAAATGATAGTCAAATATTAACCTCAGAATTTTGTATTATTAATTCAAAAAAAGAAAAATTGTCATAATGTTATGATTAATGAACTAAGAAAACTTTTCCAAATTAATATATTTCAAAACTAGATTTTTTTAAAAACTGCAACAGCTATCATCAAAAAGTCAGTGGATTGACACAATTATATTGTAATAAACAATATTCCTTCTTAATAATCGTGAAGCATTCACATTGAAAATTAAACAAGAATGTCAAAAATTAATGTTTCAGAAGGTTATTGCTTTTTGTACAAAATTGCAAGATTATAAATTAAAAGTTCTTTTAAGGCAAACTTGATTTTATAAGACGAAAAATATTCAATTTCGTCTCACTAATTTTTATTCTAAATTAAATAAAAACTTTTTACACTTAAAAATAAAATATTTTAATTAATAAAATTTTTTTTTAATTATTATTTATTGTGTCGAGAGAGCGCCAATATCAGAACGTAAGATTGGAAATTTTTTGCTATGTCCCTGATTGTAAATAATCTAATTGAGATGCCCCCGATAGTAAATAAAAAAAATTAAAGTGCATTTATTAATATACACCAATAACCAGTGGACGTTCGAGAATAAAATTTATAAATGTAAATGGCGTCCTTTCAAAGCATAAGTTTAAAAAATACAGCGTTGTTTAATACAATTTTTTGTTATAGAAAAATGATAAACAATTAAATTGATAATGTTTTAAGATAAAAAAATACTAACTTTTATTCAGTGATATTACAATATTTTCCATACCTTTTTACAGCCTTTCCTTTTGTATATACAAATAAACTTTAACAAAAATATATATTTCAATTTGCTTCCAAAATGAACAGACACTGTTCAATTCGAATCTTTTTTATGTACTCTCTTAATTTAAATCAGTGAAATAGCTAGAAGTCGGTTACTAAATCATTTAGTAAAATTTTCACTGAAAATTAGTCATATATCACTGATTTCCTGTGAAAGTTTCACTAAATGAATCAGTAACCGACTTCTAACAATTTCACTGATTCAAATTAAGAAAGTAGAAATACTTCTAACTCAATTAGTTTATCATTTTTAATATTTTAATAATAAGTCGAATAGAAAACAAGTTTTTCTTAAGAGAAAGTTTACTTTGGTATTGAAGTTTACACTGTCCTTGTAATACTTGGTAATACAAATCTAATATGAAATACAATTTTTTTTAAATTAAATATATTTAGAAATTACTAAAATCATAAATGCATACTGCATTTTCCTCCAATGTGTATCAAAAACAATCTTCTTTCTTCTGGCCGTTGAACCAATTTCATAAATTTTTAAGCTCCCATTAAACATTATTAATATTGACGTGGTCTGTTAAAAAATATCTTTAATTTTATTTAACTTCATAATAATAAAAATACTTTCCAAACACAAATATCAAGGTAAAGACATTGCGTATATATGATGCATTCCACGCCAAATTCGAAGTCCATCTGCAATTGCATCTTCGTTTTTTTAAACTTTTTTTTCTTTTAGTAGTAATTGAGACTAGCTTTCATAAATTTTTTCAAATTTTTTCAGCAAGCCTTGTTCGAGATATATATTTTTCAAAACTTCA